ATAATTTTATGTTGAAACCTGAACTGGAGACTTGTAGATAGGAAACTTAATTGTATTGTATCAAGCTGGGAAAGTGGAATGAGTGCATGTGGAACTGGGTGTGAACATCAAATAGAAAGGACATGTCTGTTATCTCTTTGGGATGGCTTAGATTCTAAGGCCGTGAGGTGGACTTGATTACTAATTAAGATGCCTGTGATGTCCAGGATTCTGGTTTGAAGACTTAAAGAATACAACATAGGTGGAGATATTAAATGCGGGCTATGATATTAACTGCTAAAACATCTCCACTTCTTATAAAAATCTAGGTTAGTTAGGGTTCTTCAGAGAAACACAACGGATTCTATCTAATGTGTTTTTATATAATATATATGGTACATATATGTATTTACTTATTTCAGTAACTGGCTCCCACAGTTTGGGGGGCTGGCAAGTCCAAAGCCGGCAGGGCAGCCTGGGAACGCAGGCAGGATCCGTCTGGTGGCAGAATTCTTTCTTCTTCAGGAAACCTCAGGTGTTTGTCTTAAGGCCTTCAGCTAATTGCACGAGGCCCACTGACCTCAGGGAGGGCAGGGTCCTTCACTTAAAGCTCACCCCTTACAGATGTTTACATCTGCAGAATACCCTCAGAGCGATACCTAGACTGATTCTTATCCACATGGCTGAGCACCTGAGCCTAGCCTACTTGACACATAAGGCACACCCTTTACAGCCTGCAAACATGCTGGCTCCAACTTATTCAGAAATCGGACATGTGATGGGAAGGGACGCGTCTTCCTAGGGGATGTGGGAAGAACCCCGTCGTATTTCACATGATCCTCCCTACTTGCCTTGAAATACCATTTCTAAAGAGCTGGCTTCTTTTCATTCCATTCCACGGTAGTCACTTCGCCATGGCCTCTCTCTGTGGCTCCTTGCCCTCCCCAAAGCATGCACTCCCTAAGCTACTCTTTCTGCAGTTCTCCCAGGTCTTTCCAAAACTCTTGTTTGTCGCTCCCCCTCTTCATGGAGGAACGACACTAAACCCTGCCTAGGCTTCCTATCCGAGTCACGGCACCATTATGTCACTCCCCGTCTTCGTGGAGGAACTACACAGGACCCTGCGCTGTTCTTTTGTCTGCTCGGCCCTCCCCGGGTTTGCTGCTGGTTCTTCCCGGGTTGGCTACCGACCCTTCCACCTCCGTGGAAGGGCGGTTCCCCCTGCCACTTTCCCCACTTCCGCGGGGGAGCGGCACACCGCCGGCCGGCTCTCTCGGGGGCTGCACAGGTGTTCCCTCAGATGTTCCCCTTAGATGTTCCTGGTGCATGTTGTCTCTCTCCTCCTTTATAATCCTCTTCCACCAATCCCAACTCTGCTACCCACACGCCGAGTACGCTGCTCTCCTCCAATCAGGAGCAGCACCTACAGTTTATTGGTTGAACTGGAGGCAGCTGTGTAGAAGCTGTTTACTCCTCTCCCAGCGCCATAATGTGGGAGAGCAGATGCATAGAATAAGTCTTAATTCCAGTAACTTAGTCTAGTCCGAGTTGCTCCCAGTTGCTCCCCACACTTGTTATATCATTATACCGCTTTCACGGCCCATTCAGAGGAAGGCTATTTGCTTCAAGAAAATCCTGGAGACAGTAAATCAACGGTGAAGACCACAGACACAAAATCTGGGTTCTGGTTCCAGTTCCACCCCCTGCAACCTCTGTGACTTCGGTCACATTACTTGCAATAGCCCTGAAATCTCAGTGATGGGGATAATAATTAAACTTCCTTGCTTGAGGTGCTGATGTGAAGTGCTTTTACTTAGTCTCTGCTTATACTTTTTAGCTATTGTCAAAGCTGTCTACAGATAGTCCGGGAGAAAATGATTTTGAAGATGGACAACCTGTATCACTAAAATCATATAATGATGCCAGATGAAGATATGCAGTTAACCTGTTATCCATGACAGCTTCTTTCGCAATAATAAGACATTTAGATCTTCTCTCTTCATGTACTCTGGGGCTCAAGAAATCCGTCTGCCATTACTGAGCCTCAAAACAATTCATCCCTACAACATTCACCACACAAACAAAAGAGGACTGAGGAAGTCATATTTCCTGAGTGCTTTGTATGATGCTAAGGCACACACGGAGTCTCATGGAAGGCTCACACCATTTTCTGGAAACCAGTTGTATCACCCCCAATACAGTAGAAAAAACTGAAGCTCAACAAGATTTAAATAACTTACCCCAAATTAGAGAGCAGAACGAGGATTGCTCAGCTTCAAAGCCAAAACTCTGGCTAAGTTACATCACTCGGCTTCCCTTACAAGGGTCGGGCTTTGTCCCATTGCATGCAGGCTGCCGTTGCCTGCATTACCTGAAATTGTTTTTCTCCTATTTCAGAAATGTTCTCGTTTCTTCTCCTTCACAAAACTGAACTCTCCGTTCTAGAAGTTGCTCAGGACATTCAACGATGGGTATTGTGAAGTGGGCAGGAGATGTTGACCCACAACATGAAGGAACTATGGAGCTTACCAATTCGTGGGGAAAGTGATGTTTGAAGTTCCTGACTTTCTGCTTCTAAACCAAACCTCTGCTTACAAAGAATGTGTTAGTGAGATATGCAGGAGATGCTGTTTTTCTTCTGTCTAGAGAGAAGACTCAACAACAACAACAATTTACCAGGGCCGGCGCCAGCACCGGCGGGTTAAAGCCCTGGCCTGAAGCACCCACATTCCATATGGGCACCAGTTCGAGTCGCGGCTGCTCCACTTCTGATCCAGCTCTCTGCTAGGGTCTGGTATAGCAGTGGAAGATGGCCCAAGTTCTTGGGCCCCTGCACCACCTGGGAGACCTGAAAGAAGCTTCTGGCTCCTGGCTTTGGATCGGCGCAGCTCCAGCTGTTGCAGCCATCTAGGGAGTGAACCAGTGGATGGAAGACCTCTCTCTGTCTCTACCTCTCTCTGTAACTCTGTCTTTCAAATAAATAAATAAATCTTTTAAAAAAACACAATTTATCAAATCATTTGAAGTTAAAAAAAAAAAAAGAAGCAGCAGCAGCCCAGGAAGCCCATAGTGTGATTAAAATGAGAAAGACAGTGAGGATTCATTTATCACAATGAAGGTTCTTATCCAACCAATTCGTATTCTGGCTTCAAACTGACTCATTCATCCACCTGCCCATGGGTTCAACCAACCTTCCTAAGCAGATGCAACATCTGTTTAGTGCATAGAGACCCACTATGTGCCAGGTGCTGTTCTAGGTGCCAGGATAACCCAAGGCTTGCAGTGCATAGAGACGGATAAGCTTGGAGCCATCCGATTAACAACGAAACAAGTCGATTTCAGGAAGGCACAGGTGCTGTGAATGGAATATGATGACAGGACACAGGGCTTTGGGTGGGGAGCTGCTCAAGCTGGGATTCATAGGGAAGACCTCTGAATCGTTGGCGTTTGAGTAGAGACTGGAATGAGAAAGAGCCAGATCTTTCTAAATCGGGGCGGGGGGAGGTAGGGGGCAAAAACCCAAGTAATAAGCACCAAATTTCCACCAGTTCAAAGGCACCAAGATCAGAAATCAGGCAGGATGATTGAGTGTGAGACAAAGTCAGCAGGGTGGGGGTCGGACCTTGCATTCCCCATGGATAATGGAATTCTATTGCCGGTTCTATCGCAGGAGTAACACGATTTGAGTTTGAAAAAAAATCATCAATCTGGATGCTTGGTAGAAAATTCCTTATAAAGGGGCAAGAGTGGGGTCGGGGGTACTGGTGAGGGAGAGAGGCTGAAGACTCTACAGACTCCTTAATGGTTAAGGAGACTTCCCTTGATGGGAGGAAGCTGGAGTGGTGGCAATAATGTGTTTATTTCCATGCACGTACCTGCGGCAGAATAAATTGTTTTATTATTATTTCGTCAAAGGCAGAGATGGTGGCGCCGCTGTGGATTAGCAGCGCTGTCTCCTCCTCTCTGCATTAGAAAGCCATCTTACTACTGCTGCAGGGAACGGCATCCTGGCAATGAACGCTTCCCTCTGGCTGAAAGGCAGTCCTTCCTCGGGCATTTTATTAGCAGTCTCTGCCGATTCCTGGGGCTAACCGAAGGGCAATCTGTGACCCTGGCGTTGGACTCTTCCCCCCGCCCCACCTCCCCCTCTGGCTCCGCTGCAGCTACTTTAGAGAGTGGCGTCGGTAGCCGCTCCGCCAGCAAACTTCCGTGCTGAGCCGAGGAGGCGCGGCGGCTGGGAGGTGGCGGACTCTCAGCACACCCCCCCCCCCCGGTCTTTCTGCCCCCCATAAATCAGCGTCGTCAAACATCCTAGAAGTGTTATGATGGTACTGAATGCATAAAAGGGTCCGCAAGTCGAATCCATTGTCGTCATTGCTGGTGGCAGAGGGGAGTGACAAGACTCTCCCGCGTCGCTGAGGAGTAGCGCGCGGCACAATAAAACGGGGCTGGCACCATGTGGGTCCCAGATTTCTCCAAGTTCCGCCTCCACCCCGCTCCGCCCGCCTCCCCGGCCCCCTCCCTTTGCCGTCCTCCCGGCACCAGCCTTTGACTCCCATCTGGCCTTCCGCTGGGGACGCGTCTCCACCACCGACTGGAGAACACAAGTTGGGCTCCCCCCAAAGTGATTGTGACCCCCACCTTCTCGGCGCAGCCCGAGCCGAGCGTCAGGCCTGCGGGGGCTGTGGTCAAGAGGATGGAGGGGCCTGGCTGAAGAGGCAGCTGCCCTCGCTCCCCCTACTGCACTTGGCACGCACCTCCCGGGCGGACACCCGGCCTGTGCGTCCCCCATCCGCCCCACTAGCCAACCCCGCCGGGCTGTTCCTCGTAGCTGCTTTTCCGCCCTGCTGCAGAGCCGCGGCGCGCAGGTTGGAGTTCGCTCTCGCGGGCGCCGCGTCACGCGCGGGTGGCGGCGGAGGCTGGGTCCGAGCAGGAGCCGCCCCTCCCTCCCTCCCTCCATCCTCCTCTCCCTCTCCCGCACTCCCCGCCCTTACTCCACCCCCTTCCTCCGCCCCGCTCCCCATCCTCTCCTGGTGTGTGCGCGCTTTAAATAATTTCCTTCTTTTTGGCAAAAGAAATAATGCACCTGACTGTACCAGGGGGAAGCAACCAGCCGAGCCGAACAAGGAACAGATGTAAGAGGAATAAAGGGAGAGAGCCAAAGAGATGAGACTCGGTTAGAGACATCCAGAGGCTGCGGAGGTGGCCGCCGCGGCAAGCAACCCGAGCTCCCCAGCGCGCGTGAGCTGCAGGCAGAGGACGGCTCACCAGTTGCAGGCGTAACCTGGGGAACTCCGGGGTCTGGAGGCTTATTGGCCAAAGTCTTGGCTGCTTTGGCCCAGACCCTCAAGAGACTGGCAGTTACCCGCGTGCCTTCCCAAGCAGCTGGCAGAGAAATGAGCCTTTCTGGGCGGAGGATGGGCGAAGGGCGCCCGCAGTGGGGGTCTCGAGCCGGGAAGCGCCTCCCGCGCCCCGGGAGGAGAGGGTCACCCCGCGGGCGGCCGGGAGGCGGCGGTGCCGGCGCGCCGCGCTCCCTGCTCGGGCTGTTCGTGCACGCGTGGCTGTGGGCGGCCTCGGGCTCATCTGCCCAGGTGTTCAACCTCAGCCTGTCCGTGGACGAGGGGCTTCCCCCGGACACGCTGGTCGGCGACATTCGCGCGGGGCTGCCGGCGGCGCAGCAGCAGGAGGGGGGCGGCTTCTTCCTGTCCGAGGACTCGGACGACTCCCCGCTGCTGGATGACTTCCACGTGCACCCGGGCACCGGCATCATCCGCACGGCGCGGCGCCTGGACCGCGAGCAGCGCGACCACTACAGCTTCGTGGCGGCCACGCTGCTGGGCGCTGTGGTGCAGGTGGAGATCCGCGTCAACGACGTGAACGACCACTCGCCCCGCTTTCCCCGGGAGTCCCTGCGCCTCGACGTCTCTGAGCTCAGTCCGCCGGGCACCGCCTTCCGCCTGCCAGGTGCGCACGATCCGGATGCCGGGCTGTTTGGCACACAGGGCTACACCCTGGTGCAGCCGGTCCCCTGGCCGGAGGACCCCGCGGGACCACTCTTCCAGCTGCGCTACGGGACTCCGGGGCCCCCGCCGCTGCCGGCCTCCTCGTCGACCCTGGAGCCCCTGGACCTGGTGCTGCTGCGGCGCCTGGACCGAGAGGTGGCGGCGGCGCACGAGCTGCAGATCGAGGCGTGGGACGGCGGCCGCCCGCGGCGCACGGGCCGCCTGCGCGTGGAACTGCGCGTGCTGGACGAGAACGACAACCCGCCCGTCTTCGAACAGGACGAGTACCGCGCCGCGGTGCGCGAGGACGCCCCGCCGGGCGCCGAGGTGTGTCGCCTGCGTGCCACCGACCGCGACTTGGGCCCCAACGGCCACGTGCGCTACCGCATCCGCTCCCGGCAGGGATCCGGTGCGGGGGCGGGCGGCGGGGACGGGGCCTTCTTCGCGGTGGAGGAGCTGAGCGGCGTGGTGCGGGTGCGGAGGCCTCTGGACCGCGAGGCACAGGCCTGGCACCAGCTGGTGGTCGAGGCCCGCGACGGGGGCGCGGAGCCTGAGGTCGCCACGGTGCGCGTGTCCATCGCCGTGCTGGACGTGAATGACAACCGGCCCGCCATTCACCTGCTGTTTCTCACCGAGGGCGGCGCCGCCCGCGTCTCGGAGGGCGCCAGACCCGGCGACTACGTGGCTCGCGTCTCTGTGTCCGACGCGGACGGTGACCCGGAGAAGGAAGAGGAGGAGGCTGGGGAGCCCGGTGCAGGCATCGGGAGCTCCAGCGTGTCGCTGTCCCTGGAAGGCGGGGAGGGCGCCTTTGCGCTGCGGCCCGGCGGCCGCCCAGGGGTATTTTTCCTTTGCGTGGAGGGGCCCCTGGACAGGGAGAGCCGTGACCTGTTTGCCCTGCGCCTTGTGGCCACGGATGCGGGGTCCCCGCCGCTGAGCACCGAGGAGACGCTACTGCTCCGGGTTGCAGACCTCAACGATCAGGCTCCTGTCTTCAGCCGGGAGCATTACCGGGCGTCAGTATCCGAGGCCGCGGCCCCTGGCACCGCAGTCCTGTGGGTCAGCGCCTCGGACGCCGACGAGCCTGGCACGGATCACGCGCGGCTTCGCTACGCGCTAGCCCAACTCTCGCCTCACTGTGCCGCGGAGGCTCCGCCGCCCACCGCAGAGTGCGGACCCTCCTTCACCATCGACCCTGAGAGCGGAGTCATCAGCACGCGCAGAGCCCTGGACCGAGAGGTCCAGGCGGCTGTGGAGCTGAGGGTGATGGCCCAGGACCTGGGCGAGCCCCCGCTCTCTGCCACCTGCCTGGTGAGCGTCACCGTGGATGACGTGAATGACAATGAGCCCGTGTTCCGCAGGCAGGTGTACAATGCCACTCTGGCTGAGCATGCTGCAGTCGGACATTGCTTTCTGCAGGTGAGTGCAGCAGGCCTGGGCTCAGCGAGCAGGCCTGGCCAGGGAGAGGGAAATTGGGAAGTCTTCCCCGGGAACTTGTGCTAGGCAGGGTTGCATGCTGACCCTCCAACCAGAGGACTGGACCTTCCTGCTGAGATCTTGGCCGCATGGCCGCCAGTGTCTTCTGGGCCTCACCTGGTGTTTAGATCTTGATTATTCCTACGGAAATCAGGTTTTCTTCATGCGGGATGTGCACTCCCAGGTCTACCCTGGAGGAACCGTTCCTTCTAAATCAGCCAGTGTCTCCAAGATAGCCCTCATAATGAGCTTTCGCAGCTATCTTTTGCAAGTGTATGTCTTTCAACACTGAAATTGCTTCGAATGATCATTTCCAGAGATTCTTTACAACTCCTACCTTGTCCAGAGCAGCTTCCAGAGGTTGGTTGGGGACTTCTAGCCATCTGTGTTAGCACCCTGTGTGGGCTGAGCTCCTCCTGGGATGCCTATGGGGCTCAGGAGCAGAGAGGCTCCATCACCCTTTATAACATGGAATGCCATCCCTTGCCTCTTGGTTGGGGGAGTGTTGCGTGTTGGGTTTCTTCTGCTCCTGCCCCTCACTCTGAGAATGCTGTGTTCTGCCTCCTGCCAGCCCCTGCGCCTCGCTGCTTCCAGTTCCCTATGTCTTATCTGATGTCAGATTGCCAGATTTCCCAGTTTGTTTTGTCAAGGTAATTTGAGCGAATAAACAGAGCCCGGGTGCTGACTGCTGAGTGCAGTGCCAGGGCTTTATTAAGCACTTAGCCTGGTTAATTACTTCCTGAATCTTAATTAAGGGGTTGAGGTTTTAGCTGTGTGATTCTCTCTCCAATAGTAACCTTTAGATAGTGAAGTCATCCTTTACAAGGGGTCTTCAAAAAGGTGGGAAATGTGTACTATGAAAAATGTGTATGGATTTTAAAGTTTTTTTGCACCTAAATATTTTGTAAAAGGGTTTATTTTACCTATTTGAAAAGCAGAGAGAAAGGGGTGGGGGAGAGAGAGAGAGGGAGGGAGAGAGGTCTTCATCCACTAGTTCACTCCTCAAATGGCTGGGGGATGGGTCAGGTTGAAGCCGGGAGCCAGAAGCTTCTTCCAGATCTCCCACATTGGTGTAGGGTCTCAAGGACTTGGGCCATCTTCCACTGCTTTCTCAGGTGCATTAGCAGGGAGCTGGATCGGAAGTAGAGCAGCTGGGACTCGATTCGGTGCCCATATAGGATGCTGGTACTGCAAGTAGTGGTTTTACTTGCTATGCCACAACTCTGGCCCCAATAAATTTATTATTTGATTCCATTTTGTTCTAAAAACGTTTGGAAGTAGCCTGATATCATAACAAAGGATTTAAAGACTGCTTCTACCTTTTAACGCTTTGGGCAAGTGAACAATAATTCCCACTCCCTTTTCTAGTGTGATGGATGGAGCACTGTAAGTTGCTAGATTATTAAAAAGTTGCTTGAAATTTATGCCTGCTACTGAAACAGACAATTCCACGAATATCAGGGACTAACCCTGTCCAGTGGTATTTCCCTCTTAAGTAGAGTCTGACATGAAGTGGGTTGGTTGGTCTTACTCTAGCCAAGAGGTGGCCTGGCCTGGGACTGACTTCCACCACTTTACCCCCACATTTCACTGGCCAGAGCAGCCGTGTGGCCTCAGGTTTCTTGCAGAGGAGGCTGGGAAATGTGGAGAAGCCCATGAAGGCCCAGTACCCACTGACAGTTTCTGACAGATCCCGATGTACGAGATCTTTGTCTGTGAGAGGTTGATGTCTAAGATTTCTTCCACCTGGAAGACCCTAAGGCTCTCAATAGGAAAACAGTAAAAGTTGGCTCTGTTTGGAGGACAGTAAGCAGAGAGGATTAATTGTCATTCTTTTGATTAAGACCTACCTTTAGAATTGTGTCTAGAACTGTGAGACGATTCTGCCATGAGGCGCGAGTGTACCCCCATCATTCAGTACTCAGTGTGTGCGGACCTGTTGTGGTGAGCTGAGCTTGGCTCAGGCGTGGGCCAGCACCTCCAGTAACTGCGTGATACCTGTCTGGGCTGCCAGGTATTGGTGCAGACAGGACTGCGTTTTTGCTGATTACAACTTCTGGAAACTCCACCCCCCTCGCCCCTCAAGATTTGCAGAAACTGTTATGCCCCGACTCCCTGGTGGCCTCCTGGACAGCAGCGTGATATCAAACACATGAAAAACAAGAGGGGAAAAATTTTTTTTCCTGTTCTATTTGCCCTGTAAGGGAATACCATGTCCTCTAATCAACAAACCAAATCAAACCAAACCCCAAAACAACGTTGAACTTTCAAGGTGTCTTGGTGGTTACTCCATGCGCATGATCTTTGGGGTCTCTTATTTTCATTGCTACTCCTGCTGGGAGCACAGTGCTGGGTCCCCACCCTTCTCCCAATGCTGGCTGAACTCTTATATTCTCATACTCAGGTTGGAACTTTCCAAAGACTTTAAAGGTGGGGCAGACCAAAGGGAATTAGCACAGAGTGCCAGAACCATTAGCAGCCTCGGCTAGGTAACCTGTAACTCCAAAAGGTTCCTATGGCCTTCCAGACACCTGCCAGAGTTTCTGAATTCCTTACTCCGTATCTGTCCCGGAGAGGGGCAGAGCCCCTTCTTAACAACTCACCTCTCAGAAACTCCCTTCACTCTCTGGCTGCTATTATGATCAAAACGGAGAGGGATTTCCACTCGGCAGGCGCTCAAGGATTGCTCCCAGTGCTCGTGTCTAGTCTGAAAGATTCCATTTTCCTAAAAATCACTGCCAGAAAGGCCAATTTCAACCTCTGGAGAAGAGCTCCACCCTTTACCACACCTACTGATACGAGCTGTGCTTACAGCCAGAATTTACAACCAGATGGGAAAACAGTATCACACCAGCATTCATACTGACTTACACGCACGCAGCTGCAGAAATACCAGCAACGTGTTCATTCATTTATTTCATCCAACAACAGCATTCACTAAATAAACAGCGTTCAGTGAACAGATATTTACTGAGTTATTTGCTGCATGCTGGGAACAGTTCCTGGTTCTAGGAGTGCAACAGGAGCTTGGTTCTAGACATGCAAGCAGGAGCTTGGATCTAGGCATGCTCACGGAGCCCACAGTTGAGGGTTCTCTGTCCCCTTCCCCATCACTGTCTGTCTTGGGAATGAGTGACCCACTCGAGGCCTCCACTTGCTGGTCTGACCTCTCTCCAGCACTACAGTAAGTCCTGCCTCTCACAAGACATCTATCTGAGTTCTTTTATTTCCAGTCCATTGGGCCTTTCTAAGTCGTGGCGTCGCTCCTTCTCCCTGAAGCATTTGGACTGCTGCCGACTTTCTCGACTGTGCCTTTTGCCTGTCTTTTGCTTCACTCTGTTCTTTCTCTCACCAATTCTCCCTTTTCCTCTTATGCCACCCCATGTCAATCAGAGGCATTTCCAAAGGTTCCATTTTTCTCTCACTCTGTTCTATATCCTCTTATTATGTAGTCCCTAGAACTCTAATTTTTTTTTTTTGACAGGCAGAGTGGACAGTGAGAGAGAGAGACAGAGAGAAAGGTCTTCCTTTGCCGTTGGTTCACCCTCCAATGGCCGCCGCGGCCGGCGCGCTGTGGCCGGCGCACCGTGCTGATCCAATGGCAGGAGCCAGGTGCTTATCCTGGTCTCCCATGGGGTGCAGGGCCCAAGCACTTGGGTCATCCTCCACTGCACTCGCTGGCTACAGCAGAGAGCTGGCCTGGAAGAGGGGCAACCAGGACAGAATCCGGCGCCCCGACCGGGTCTAGAACCCGGTGTGCTGGCGCCACAAGGCGGAGGATTAACCTAGTGAGCCACAGTGCCGGCCTAGAACTCTAATTTTCAAAAATCTGCTTATATATTTATTTTATGTCTCCAGAATCAGCATCTGATATAAGCCCCAGATTCACATTCTGTTCCTGGATATACAAGGATATTTCAAAAAAAGTTGGCGGAAAATGGAATTGAACTATAAGTTCCTTTTGGGTACAATTTTTTTTTTTTTTTTTGAAATCCATGCAGTTTTTCAATGCTATGCATTTTTCCATGAACTTTTGGAGAACTGAAATCCAACATTTCCTGGTTTGAACTCATTTCCCTCCTGCTCTCTGTTTTCCTCTCCTCTGCCTCCCCCCTTCCTTTCCCAGGCAGTAGTAGGAATCCACCGGCCGGTCATCAATTAGCATCTGTGGAAGTGTAGGGCTGGAGGCAGGCATCACAAGGGACGGAGGTGGGGTGCCTCTCAGGGACGATGTGAGATTCTCCCACTCTCCTAGTGCCAGCTTTAGAAGTACAGGACTTGCTTCAGGAAGAAGGTCCTTCCTAAAATCTTAGTGCCATCTCTGACTCTTCCCCAGATCTGACTGTGTGAGTTGCCAAAGCCCTCCCTTCAGTATTTCCTAACCTCTCCCTTCTCTTACACCGCTGCTCTCCCTCTGTGCATTGTCATCTCTTGCTCTTGTTGGCTGGCCTTCAAACTGGAGAGCCTGGAGTGCAAAGGCCACCCCCACCCACTCAGCCCGTTTTTTATGCTGTCCAGCTCTTTTTGTAATGTTCTTTGTGGGGCTGAAGTTGTTTAGTTGTATTAGTAAAAGTGATGAGTTAGGAGTATCATGAAGGGTTAGAATTCACTGGCATTTGAGTTCTCTGCAATTTCTAACTTCCTTTATCTTGTATAATAGGAGATCAATCACTTTGTTGAATTGCACCAAAGAGCAACATAGCAGAAAAAAAAAGTGTTTTGTATTGTAGCAAGGGCTACAACTAATCAAGGTTTTTACTTTTAATGTTTTGCATTTTATTTGCATGTATATTAGGTTTATTGCAAAGTTTATTTCCGCAGCATGTTTCAGTTGGCAGTCCTTCAGAACTGTACCATCTGAATTTCACTGCTTCTCCTGTATTTTTATGTCCCTTACCCCAGTGCTAACACACTGTTGTTGCTTACCTTGTAAGAGGGAACTC